TTTAATTTCATCAGCCCACTTCATTTTCTGTTTCCCCCTCATGCGTTTATTCAGTCAGTTACCCTTAATGACCAGCGGTTATCCTGTCTACGTGCTACGTGCCCGACCCCTGTCGATTTCTTTTTTTTTTTTTTTATTTCAACTATGGTATCTTTAACCCCAGTTTGTTCCCTGACCCACTCCTCTGCTCTCTTCTTGTCTCTTAACCCTTTACTGCCAAGTGTCGCGAATTCGCAACATACCAAAACAGTTCAAGCAGGCAAGTCACAAAATGCGCGTCACCTTTAATGCCGGCAATCAAGTACTCATGGGAAACGTAGCTTTCAGCATGAAAAATCTAGCGCCACCTCGTAAAGTCAGGGGTGGAACAGCCAAAATTGAATTTAGAGCAATTTTTGGAGCAGCAAAATGTTACATTTGGAGCACAAAAATCCAAATTTGGAGCAGGCTGCGGGAAAACAACAAATTTTAATCATGAAAGACCAAAATTGTAGCATTATAAAAATGAAGGCTTACATTTAGAAAAAAAAATGTATGCACAAGACATTCAGCCTACCTATATTGCACAGACTGAACAAGCACTGCCATATCAATAAATGTAGTATTCTGAATCACCCCACTGAGCAAGCGATGATAGCGTCCACACTAGCATTTGTGCCGCCTGTTGAACCCTTTGACAGACTCTGCGAATTCAAACGGGGCTCTGCCAAGCTGACGACCTTGAAATTAGGAAGATTCGTGAAATCGAGGAGTAGGGGAGGCAAAAAAAAAAAAAAAAAAAAAACGACATATCTTTTTAAGTTTTATGGCGGCAGAAATGTCATTCGCTGCTCCGAATAATTGCCAGTAACTTTTTTAGACGTCAGTAATCATAGCAGTATTCAATTATACTGCTGATACAGACATGAGTAATTCAACAAAATGTGCAGTGTCCCATCCATGACTACCGCTAATAGCCCCGTCCAAATCATATTACACTTTTCCGCGGGACACCGGTGTATTGCGGCAAAAGTGGCATAAGCACCATTTTGCTCGGGTTTGAACAAGGCCAAGCAATTTTCGAACCGCTACACCCCTCCCCAACCCCACTTTTTTTATTTTACAGTGGGGTTCGATTTAGGGCACAGCAGGTACAACTTCTAGGCTCGCTTGCAAGGCTCGTTCGACCTGATGAAGTAACAACGGCGCGCGCCCGTTGGTCCGGGGACGGATATCTGTCGCTGGGGCGACGCAACTTCAAGCCAGAAAAATGTTTTACGTTCCGTTGCTATGGCAACTTACATGGGGGCTGGCAACATTGGCGTTTGCCGCACGTCGACCTTGTTTGCGCGCGGAAAACGCGGCATACGTTCTTAACATGCTATGCTGTGTTTGCTGACTATGAAATTTATATTTTCCGCGAAGCATTGGAGGGTATGGTAACGCATGTTTTTTTTTTTGCTTGAAGTGTCGTCGTCTCGCCGATAGGTATCCGCTGTGGTCAGTGGATCGATGGGCTCGAGGCATTGTTCCTTATACTTTAATTATTCGATCATGTCTCGCAAGTGTCTTCACCTAATGAGTATATAACTTACACCGTGGTTCGAGGTCTGCGCGCTTGGTTTGATTTCTCGCAGAAATTAGCACACCTGAGATCATTTTGAGGCAGGTCAGGTATTTTGGTGCAGCGTGGCGCAATTTAAACAAATTTTGTGGCTTTGGCGCAGCTCGGCGCAACAGTGAGAAATTGTATCAAATTGGTGCAATTGGTGCAGCTGTTGCACCCCTGCAAAGTTATTTCATGCTAGAACCAATTGTTTTGTAACTGATAGCGGAGAGCGCAAAGCGCATGCAACAGCTCTCACTTAGTTTTTTCTCGCCTGTGTCACGTAAATTTTATCTTCAAAAACTATGTTTGTTTGGTGAGCACACACCCAGGAGGTGGCACTCAACTTTGTAAGTAGTTCTGAATTACATTTTTCATGGCAAGGTCCTCGCTTCTGTGGCATATAGAGAATTTGTGACGTACATAAAAGTATGCACTAAAGTTGCATTTTAGATTATTTAACTGCATAATAATTTAAAGCTTGCTATTTAAAGCTCGGAAATGCAAACAATTCTTGTTTTGTTTGGCAGTTTCATAATTTAGGCATTAAAGGGTTAAGGGTACACCTATTATTTTCCTTTCCATCGCTCCCTGCGTCATCCTCAATTTAAGCTGAACCCTTTTTGTAAGCCTTCATGTTTCTGCTGCATAGGAAAGTACCAGCAAAATGCAGCTGTTGACCTTGAGGGTTAATGGCACATTACCATTCATAATATGAGAATGCTTGCTGAATGTGGTCCACCCCATCCTTACTCTTCAAATTATTTCACTCTCATGGTTTGGCTCCGCGGTTACTACATGTCCCAAGTAGACATATTCATTTACAACTTTCAGCGTCTCTCCACCTATCGCAAAACGCTGTTTTCTGCCGAGATTGTTGCACATTATTTTAGTTTTAAGCATATTAATTTTCAGACCTACTCTTCAGCATTCTGTGTCCAGTTCAGTTATCATGAGCTGTAATCCGTCCCTTGAGTTACTCATCAAGGCAATGTCATCAGCGAACCGCAGGCTGCTAAGATACTTTCCATTAACTCTTATCCCTAACTCTTTCAGTCTAGTGCCCTGGAAACCTGCTGCAAACACACGGTGAATAGCATTGGAAAGATCGTGTCTCCATGCCTTACACCCTTTTTTTTATTGGGATTCTTTCACTGTCTTTATGAAGAACTATGGTGGCTGTGGATCCGTTGTAGATTACTTCCAGTATGTTTATGTATGGTTCGTCCATGCCCCGATTCCATAGTGCCTGCATCACTGTTGATGCCTCAACCAAGTCAAATGCCTTCTCGTAATCTATGAAGGCTATGTATAGGACTTGGATGTATTCCCTGCATTTCTCTACCACCTAATCGATAGTATGAATATGGTCTATTGTGGAGTAGCCTGTACCAAATCCTGCTTGGTCCTTTGGATGATTGAACTCTGGTGTTGCCCTAATTCTATTAAGTGTTATTTTTGTAAATAATTTGTAGAGAATGAACAGTAAGCTAATTAGCCTGTAATTTTTGAAATCCTTGACGTCTTCTTTTTTACGAATTAACGTTGGCATTCTTCCAAGGTTTTGATACCCTTCCCGTTAAGAGACACTTCGTACATAAAGTGGCCAGTTTTTCTAGCACAATTTTTCTGCCATCTTTCAGCAGGTCTGTTATTACCTTATCCTAACCAGCGGCTTTGCCGCTTCGCATTCCTTATTGGGCTTTCATTACTACCTCTGTCGTTACTGGTACGATGTCGAATTCCTCTGGGTTATTATTGCTTCTTATGATATAATCCTGGTTATTTTGGCTTTTGTACAACTTTCTGTAGAACTCCTTCACCACCTGAACTATCCTATCCATATTGCCTTTCTTATCCCTTAATGCATACATCTGATTTTTGCCTGCAAATTTGCTTTCACAGCTTTTAAGCTTCTGCCGCTTTTTACAGCCTGCCCGATTCTCTCCACGTTATATTTTCTGATGTCGGCTACCTTACCCCTATTGACCAACTTCGAAAGATCCAATAGCTCTAATTTGTCAGTTGCATTTGAGGCTTTCATATTGACATTTTACAGCAAAAGCTGTTATGAGATCACAACTCGGGTCTTGCGCAGCACTGTAGTTGTCCGCTGCGACTGCCGTTGTCTGCAAACCACATCACGCGAAACCAGAAAAAAAACCTCGTACCAATGACACAGCTATTAACTTAATGCATACCTACTTCAGACATAATTCATCAACGTCGTCAGCCACTGCATGAACAATTGGCACAAAATTCCTCGCAATACTTTAGCGAATACCACGCTTCTCAGAAAAATGACGAAAAATGCCATAGCAAATGCCAGCCTACTACAAAAAAAAAGTTATCATTAATGCCGTAGTGGGTATCAAGCAAGTGTGCTTGCAGCAGTTATCCAATGAGTATTCACAAAAACGCTCTGAAAGGCCACTCTTCTAGCTTTTGCTGTGACTGTGCTGTACCATCCGCGCAGGCCTCGCCTTTTTTAGTGAGGTTTTTCATTTCCTGGGATAGTTTGCCTGTGTAATAACTGTATACCTCGACTTCCACTGCACACTCCTTAATGATACCAGTTAGATATCATTCATCATGTAAAAGCTCATGTCATTCATCATGTCAGTTACCTCGTTTAGAGCCGCGAGTCTATTCTGAAGTGAAACTATGAATTCCTCTACTTTCCCTCTCATTACTAGCTCATTATTTGGCTTCTTGTGTATCAGTTTATGCCTTTGCTTTTTTAAATCTAGGTGAATTCGAGTTCTTAGTATTTTATGGTCACTGCATCAAATCTAGCCAACTACCTCTACACCCTGTATAATGCCTGGGTGTGCACACAGAAAGAAGTCTATTCCATTTTTAGTTTCGTCATTAGGACTCTGCCACATCCAATTATAGTTAGCCCATATCTGTGTGGAAGGTATTCAAGATCTGTAAATCATTACGTTCTGCAAACACTACTAATAACTCCCTTTTGGCATTTTCAGAGCCAATGCCATATTCCCTCACTGCTTGGTCTCCGGCCTATTTCTTGCCTACTTTGGCATTGAAGTCGCCTATCAGTATAGTGTTCTGCCTTTATTGATCGCTGACTCTACGTCTTCGTAGAAGCATTCGACCAAATTATCATCATGGCTCGATGTAGGCGAGTAGGTCTGTATTACCTTCATCTAGTACATTTTGTTAAACTTTAGAACGATACTTTGCACCCGCTCACTGATGCTATAGTATTCCTCTATGTTGCCAGCGATATTCTTGTGTATTCCAGTAGTTGAAATTTCAGGGGGGGTAAGGTATTTAGGCGCTAAAACCACGATGTGATTAAGAGGTATATGCGATCCCCGATCAACTTTGACCATCTGGATTTCTTCAGTGCGCCATAATTTTAAGTACACGGTCATTTTTGCGCACTTACCTCAGAATTGAGAACTCCTATAAGTGAAGAGGAGACTTCAGGTGAGAGATCAAACTTTTTCAATATAGACAGGATGATGTCAAACATCTCCTTATGCTGTTCTCGTCCGAAGTCATTGTCGGGAAGTTCTGAAGTAAGGACAATATACGATCATGAAACGATGCGGAGCTCTGTTTTAGTTTCGCACTAAATGTTCTAATATGAGCACACTGTTTACCTTCGATAACTTTTTTTGCAATTGCCGATACGTCCGATCCACCTTTGGCCGCATTGTTGAGCAAAAATTGGTGCACCTAGAATGAACCAGGACAGGGTTACACAAGTTATCGAGCAAATCCCACAAATATGACTGACTGTCGGTACTTACTGGCTTTAAGTTCTTGCTTGTGATACACTTCCTGATTTTCCCGCGAATCGCCTCGTTGTCCATCGCTGACTTGTCAAAGTCACAGTGCGACGTCGCAGCTTTGGGACGTTTCCCTTAACATATCAGGAATTAGTTTTCATCGCTAAATCTGCACTGTAGCAGCTACGAGTGCGCAGTAAGCAGGTCTAAATTGTGCAGCAACTATGATTACACCGAAATGAAGTGCGCGCCCGAAAACACCATGCGCGCGCCATATCAAAACAGGCTGAAACCCGCCTGAACGCGGGCCAACGAAAACGCGAAGCAGGACTGGCAGGACGTTCCCGGATTTAGAAGCAGAGTGGTCAGATACGCACAGTGTTCACTTTTATTTATATTCATTATTAACGCGCGCACTTGCAAACTGTTTTGAACTTTCTGACAAAACGGGATTGCTTATCCTCTCGGAAGTGTCTGGCGCGATTTGCGAAGTGCACGGTCATAGGTGTTTATGATGCGTTTTACTTGTTGCTTCTTCATAAGAAGTTCATTTTCATGCAAAGAAGTTTTGCATGTGTAGGCGTAGTGTTGTGTGGCTGCTCTGCGTCGTCGTGCTTGCGATTATTTGGTGCTATTCCAGGAAAAACGGCGAACGAGCGCCGGTATGTTGGGAGGACGTGACGAATGCCGACAAGTTGTCGTGCAGGCCTGCGTGTCCCAGCGGCACCTTTGCACTGCGCGGGATGTCCGACTGCCACGATGTCTTGTCTTGCGAGGATATAAAACGTGAAGTCCATGTACTCGACTTGCTAGCATCTGGCACAGTAAAAAATGTGCGTTTTCAATTGCAACCTCAAAACAGAGATGCTCCGAGTGAAAGGCAAAACACTGTACTTCACCGGTTTTCATGTCCTTGCAGGTATACGTTGCGAAATGGAAACATCACATTGTGGCCCTGTCAAATTTGACCGAAGCTCGGTTTGAGTCGGACTTTCAGCACAATTTACAGATGTACCAACTTTTGGGCAACGCTGATTACACAGCTCAATATATAGGATCATGTAACAACACACTTGTCACAGAGTACTTTGCTCTTGGTTCTGCAGCAGAGCTGCAAAGCCTTTTCAACACAGAACTTAATAGGTAAGTGTCGCGATTTCGCCTTGAAAAAATATATTTTTAAAGGTTTCTGAGTTCTTTATTACCCACATAATTCAGACTATTGCACGTGCTAAATGCACTTTCAGTTATTGCGCTTACAAGCAACTGCCATTGCTGTTGGGCACACTTACAAAGCAAGTGCATGGGTAAATTGCAACAGAAGTGCACTCATGCAATTGTTATTTCTCTGAAACTTAAGGAACTTGTGTTGTTCTTCCCCACATTTCTGCTTTATCTATACACTGAATGCCCTTTCCACAGGTACAACACCCTGTCGAAGCGTTTTTCCCTATGCCTCAGCTACGTCGCGGTCCTGGAGTATCTCCATGCTCACAGTCGTGTTATGTGTGACTCAAACACCGTGTTGAAAACCCTGTCACAGTATTTGGTTCACCCTGACCTCACTTTACGACTCAATGACATGGATGCCTTACCGTATGCCACTTTTACTAAAAGGGCTGCTTGTGGTTCACCACCATTGCAAGGGGAACTGCTGGCACCCGAACAGCGAGGAGTGCTGCCGCAGGAGTCGCTCTGCACAATAGCGTGTGACATTTGGAAAATTCCAGATGTCTGTCTGTGGTTTCTGGGAAAGAGTAGCGAGGCCGAAAGCTTTAAGTTTCATCTGTTTGCTATTCATCGTCGGTGCAAACTGCATCAGCCAGAAGAGCGTCCCAGTGCAGAGGAAGTTCTGAGAGACTACCGGAAGGTTTGGCTGGAGTGGATGCGAGGTCTCTAAGTTGAACTGTGGTATTTGACAGTGACACTATATCAACACTCCCGGTACTTTAATGCATCGGTGTCGTCTATTGTGAGTAGAAAACCATCTTGTCCATGACCGAAAAATCAAGAAAGGTGCAAATAGAATAATTCACGAAACATCTTTGGTTCGAGGGAGAATCGAACCCAGGCCATCTGTGCAACAAGTGTGTGTTCTACAAAGAGCGATGCTGCTGGTTGAAACTGCTTCGGAAAAAAAAATTATGAATGTCATGTAGTGGAAAGAGTCTTCTAAATGCATTCAATCTTGCATGGAGCTAGCACAGAATCGTGCTAGGTGTTAAAACATGTGAATTGCGCAGCGAGTAAGTTTTTTAAAGACCAACCCATTACAGAGCACTCGGACATATTTAATGATTGTCAGCAGCAGAAGCATCAACAAAGTGAACAGCTGTGTAGATCCACATATTGCCTTACAGTGGGCCTTTCGCTGATTCGCAAAAAAAAAGAAATTATGGTGTATTAGGCACTTAATAGCCGTACTTGCAGTAGGCATTCTAAGATAGTTTGAAACGGCCAATGTTACATGCTCAGTTATGAGTTTCCTTGTGGCACATTTAATGGATGCACCGAGAACTGAAGCCGAATAGCACTTAGCAGGCGATGCGCACGGGGCCAGATTACGCTATCACATTCTACACTTGAAGTCGAAGCTCAAGCATCCTCCAATTTTGTTTTATATCTTGCAGTGATAGGCTGCAGCTGTTGCAACATAAGCATAAAGTGCATGGATAATTTGCTGAAGTGTCCTGTGCAAAGACTCGCATATGTAGTGATATGATTTTCTGTATAAAGTAGTACTGATTAAAAGTTTCATGCTAATTTTCTTTTGTATAATATGGACACCCCTTTATCTATTGAAAAGAATCGAAGAAGCACTAGAGCAAGCTAAATTCTTTACTGTAGTACCTCTTACAAACCAGCTTGGCTGCAGTGCTCAAGAGGTAGACATGTAATGGTGCAACTGATTTGCTCTGTTTCTGTAGTGTTTGCACTTGCCATGTGCAAGCATTGTTTTATGAAACATGTACGACCCTTGCTGATTATTTTCATGACGGACTACAACATACCTACCCTTATTACAACAATGCTGGAAAATTTAGTCTTCGCAACACCACGATGATGCCAGGTCCACCATTTCTAGGCAAAAAAAAAGTAATATCCAAATATACTTGCTATGTATATTTGTACATGCAATGCGTGTGTAGCAGAGTATTGACAACTTTGAAATGATGCTCCTGTACTCCTCCACTATGCTTCCACTTTGCTATGAAATTGATGACTGCAGCTGCATGGGAGAAGTACCTTGACCAATTCAAACAGTTAATTGCTAACTTTCTGCTAACTTTCTGTTATGACAGAATATGTGTCATTGTTTATAAAAAAAATTGTGTTCTTATGGCCTAATTACATATGTGAAAACTGTTTCCTAATGAATAGTGTGTAAACATTGGTCCTGGCATATTTACTGGATTTGTTGTGTTGAGCTGACGAGCGACATTTGTAAACTAGATTACCATTTGTCTTTAGGAAGCATAAAAAATTTTAAGTGCATTCGATTGCTTCACCAGCTTGATTTGTAAGGTTAAGTGCATGGCATTACGTGTTCTGAAGGACTGCAGCTCTTAAATACCAGGCACCTAGAAGAACGAACCATTCTTTACCCACAGCGCATTTGTACACTTAAAAAACCCCATAACTGTACTACAACCCTTTCTCTAGAACTTATAGCAAAAGCAACACAGTAGACATTTAACGAAACCTTCAGTTATGTTAAATAAATCTAAAGAATAGCAATGTGGGGAAGTTGCTTTGAGTTCATGGTGTAAACGGATGTGTCTGACACAATGGGCGACAGTCATTTCATCCTGTACCATGGAGATGTGACTCATAATTTCAGGCTGAATGTTTATCACCGTGTTTAATAGACAGTTTTAGAATAGGGTTCATAGCGTTAATTTGTTGAGAGACATGTTATTTTCGTAGCTTGAGTACTCGAAGGATAGCATATGACACATGTGCAATGGGGATAAACACCAACGCAAAGCTTTGCTAACCCTATTGTTAAGCTGTCTGCTGTCTTGGCTGTATACAGTAGGCTCGATAATTCAAACTGAAGGAAATGCCAGGATTTGGCTTGAATTTTTGATATTTTGAATTTTAAGTATTTTCACAAATATGACTTGAGGCAACATACCAACCTGTGTTATAAAATATTCACAAACACATAGGTGCCAACCGAGTGACTTGGAAATTCAGGAGTTTCATAAAAAGAAAACTGGTGGAATTTTTTATAATGTCATAGACATCTCTAAATGATTGCCAGTACTGTTTTTAGATGTTAGGAATCATACTGGTGCTTATTATTATACTCCGCATTCATGCGTGTGCAATCAAGGGACAAAATGTGCTGTGTCCTGTGACAGTTGAAAGCCTTTGGTTGCTCTTGGTACGCTTTTTGGTATATTAGTGTACTGCTGCACGTAAAATAGATCAAGGTCAGACCATCTTTCTTTTTTTCTTCTTTTTCTTTCTTCTTCACTCAACGTGGGATTGTCTGCTGTTATATTTTCTGCCACAGACAAGCAAAAAGTGAAGTAACTGAATTAATGTAATGAAGGAGTTTCATTTAACTGATTTTAAAATAATTTTGGAAGTATACTGGAGCAACCTAAGTTTGAAGTTTGTTCGAATGAAGCAAACGTTTGAATTATGGCAAGTCTACTGTATATGAATGCGTTTTGTAACCAATAAAGTCATTTGGTGGTCAGCGCACTTGAGTGTAAATTTCTCTTGCTAGCCACATATTTTGAAATAGCCAAGTCATTCAAGAAGTGTGCTTAGTTTACATTGTTTTGAACATGTTTTATGCTTCTACACAGGTACATTTCATATGCTCATAGTAATTGACCTTTTTGTTTGAGAAGTAGCAAGCTAGAAACTCATTACGAGCTAACCTCTTCTTCTACAAGTCATTAAACATCTTTCTTCCTTCACTTTTTTGTTGAAACAAACTGACTTTCTTGATGCTGTTTGGGCAGAGCTGGCCCTTGTGGCACTGAAATCCATACATCATCATCAGTTGGCATTATTTGTTGTGTTGTAGCTAGGCCTCTGTGTTTTTGAAGTTTTTTTTTTTTAATTCAGAGGGTGCTTTTTGGAGTTTATTTTTGGGGAAGAAATTCATTCGGCATTTATCAAAGTTTATTTCTGGTGAATCCCCAATTCATTGGGGATTTATCAGAAAATTGTAAACATTATAGGTTGTTCCAATCTGATTTTATTAATAATTATTTCCAATGAAATTGCATTGTTACTGATGATTGTGCTTCTCCACTCAATATTTCCTCACTTAGTGTTTTATTTACCCTGTTAATAAGGCTGTTCATGTGCACTGCTGTATAATTGCTAGAGTGTACTTTTGAGGGCCAGGAGCTACTCAAGCTGCTCCTCGACTTTTTCTCCCAGCCCCCCTCATATTCTTGAAAAGTGAAGCTATTATTATTATTAATGTTATTTTCACTACTCTGAAATCTTTGATGAAGTGACATCTGACCACGAAAATATGAGAATTCGATAAGTGTATTTTAAATGGTTGGAAGGTTTGACCGCACAAACATGTACATGCACAAGCACAAATACTTCAATACAAAACACCTTTCAATAATTTTCAGCTTTGAAAATGCCTTAAACCTTAAAATTGCCCTTATGAAATTGCAGTTTATTAGATAAATCCAAATTGCCAAAATTTTATCTGCAAGTGTTTTTCCACATGCATCACCTTTTATTTTGCTAAGTAGTGCTAATTCAAATTTTACAAAAAGTGGTCATATTTATGGTTGTGACATTGTATATGTTGAAAAAGATGATGTAGTAATAAACACGTGCAGGCGAGCACTGCAGAGAAGAAGTTGGAACCTTGAACAGCGTTCGGTCTATTTTTTTCATCTATACATAGGTTTCTCTACAGTATATTCATCGATTAGCACACCAGTTTCAAGGAAAGTAAACATTTCTTTTCGTAGTCGGCAAGCAATAAAGTCGTGTCTAAACAAGCTGTCTTTTTACCCTGCGTAGCTAAACTATGAACTACTATCAGAGCTTTCAGCACTTGCCATTATTAGCCCTAAAATATATTCATGAAAGTCACACTCTGTATGGAATACACATGCTAAAAGCCACTCCTCACTGAATGTGAAATTGACATTGCTGATTCATAAAACAAAAAAGACCGAATAACAGGTGAAAGGAAAGGGTGTTTTATGCATAGGCGTATCAGCCGTGGGGGCAAAGGGAGCACGAGCCCCTTCACTGAGAAAAGTTGGGGGGGGGGGGGGCTGAGCCCCCCCACATTCGACAGTGGTCACTCTTGGCTGCACGCTTGGGAAACCAACAAGTAAGGCGAAGTTTTCCATCTCAACAGTAATAACTCCATTATGTTCTTACAGCAGAATGAAAATGTTACGAGGCAATGCTACAATGTAGAGAAATTTTGCCAACATTTCCGCTGTGATGATTTTCCTAGTAGGTCCTTTGCAGTGCGGGTCGCCTATGCGACGTTGTCGCGTCTTGTGCTGTAGTATTTCAAAGCAGGCAAGTGCTGAACAGGGGCCCTATAATATTTTATCACTTGTTCAGGCTTTTATTCTGCTGCGACTTGTTGATGCAGTTACGGATTGGAACGAGCAAACTTTTTATCCGGTCAAATCATTCGCGGCTTCCCGAAAATAATTTTCTTCGGAAAGGGTATATCATCACCCCTTCTCTGTCGAAGCTGTTGCAAGTCGATGAGTGCGACAAATCATTTTTCATGTATAAGTTTTTCCGCACTGAAATGCCAAAAATTATTTCCGCTTTAGTCTCTGATTAACCTGGTCAGCCTTGCTTATAGTAACTTGGAAGTGTGAGCTATAGCGGCAGTAAAATGCTAAAGTAAAACACGCCTTTACAGAGGTAATTGAATATTTACTGTACATTAATAAATGAGGGTTTGCCGAATGTATACAGCTATAGCCCCGTTTAATGTGTATATATGTATCCTCGACACTTGGTACGTCTCCATCCCAACGACTAACATCCATGATAAATTTATTAAACTATTGTGGTGTTTGTAGATGTTAACTGCCAAAGCATAATCAGAGAGAGAGAAGCGTGATAGCAAGATGAGCGTCGCATATTGCACGCGGAAATGGAGCCAAGGGCACCATTTTTCAACCTTTTAAAGTGCGATTGAACTTAAGTTATCTTTTCACCCACTTTCTTTTTCTTCCCATTTACATTACAATTGGGTCTAATAACTTCCCTTATACTTTCCTTGGCATTAGTGTCTGTTAGATCTCGTCATCATTTTGTCAAACACAAAACAACCGAGTGCTTAAGTATACACTTCTTTCCCTATTCATTAACGAGGGTCTCGTACTGGCAGACTTGGTGCCTTTAGGTTGTATACGAGGGACTATTGGTCAGCTGCCCACTCGTGATAAGTTCATGTGCTATGTGACGCCAAACAGGCTCATAAAAAGTGTACCACACTCGACGCCATGGCTATTGGTGGTGCTGACTCACATTCCCACGTTTAAAAATTCACATAGATACCCAATAACGTGGCGGGGGGGGAAAGCCGCCGTGGTAGCTCAGTGGTATAGCATCAAACGCGTTACTCGAAGATCGCAGGTTCGGTTCCTGCCCACGGCAAGTTATCTTTTCACCCACTTTTCTTCCTTCGCATTTACATTACAATTTGGTCTAATAACTTCCCCTATACTTTTCTCGGCATTATTGTCTGTTTGATCTCATATATATATATATATATTTAAAGGAATGTATACTTAAGGGCTCGTTTATCCGTGTTTTGACACAATATTAGTGAGAGCTAACAGATAATAATGCCAAGGATATATATATATCTATATATATATATATATATATATATATATATATATATATATATATATATATATATATAATATATATGCATCACAGCTGACGCATGCTGTAGGTTTGCCCCCACCCCCCCCACCCACTCGCGAAATAGTTTAGTACGTCACTGGTTTTATGAAACATCTACCATCTGGCCCAACAAGTCTTACTGGTACACTGACGATTTTTCAGCAGCATATTGAGTGATGCATTGGTTGGTTCAGGTTGTTTTGTATATCAGCATAACGCCCATAATGCTCTGGGTGGCAGACTGCATTGTCATAGTATACATTTTGACGAATGTGGATATGATTTACACCTGTGTACCGGAACTCTTTAGATGCATTCATATTTATGTGCCTGTGTAAGTGTGTCATTTTTTTAGCTGCTTTGAGATTCTCTTGTATACAATTTGAAACAAAAGTGTGAAAACCCGGTCAGCTCGCTTTTAAGAAATTTTTCTCCTCTCTCAACATATACTGATGCTGAATACTAAACAACTACTGTTGGTAGTTACCTTTCTTTTCTCTACTTTTGACACTGTTTATTCGTAGAAGGTTCCTTACAAGGTCACTTTACCAAGTTTGGTTACAAAGTGAAACTTTAAGGATGGAAAAAGCCTAGAAAATTTCTGTCTAATGGCCCTCGCAACTGCCTGAGCACACGGATGCAGGGAAACTGCGCTGTACACATGCACCTTGGGCAGTAGTCAACCAAATGGCTAGCAGTCGCGATAGCACCGACAGCTGCACGGTGTTCTCTCAAACGGTCGTTTAAGCGACGACCTGTCTGACGAATGCAAGGGGTTCCGCATGACAGTGGAATCGAGTAAACCACTGCAACAAAGCATTCTACAAAATGCTTGGCATGCTTTTTGTCGCAGGCTCGTGCACCCTCAACAGCATTGACCATGCTGCACATGCTGGAGAGTTTTTTCGGCACAATAAGAACTACTGAAACCCCACACTTCAGTGCTATACTTTTTTAAACGGTGCGACACTGTGCACCTTCTCAATTCAAGTAGATTTCACAGTCATGCGAAAAGCTCTACAGTGATCAGATGGGTCGTTGCTTACCGTTTGAGGGAACACTGTGCACCTGTCAGTGCTGTCATAGCTGCTGGCCATCTCGCCGACGATTGCCAAATGTGTATGCATACAGCGCAATTTCACTGCACCCTTGTGCATTGAGACAAGGAAAGTTGTGAGTGCATCGTCACTAGCTTTCAGCAATAAAGAATGCAGATTCCTCGAAAAAAATCTGCACATGAAACCAGTTGGTTAGGTGTGGCACATGTAGGTTGCATAAGCATGCAAAATTAATGGCTTTTGTGGGTTTTTTTAGTGACCTTTTGGGCGTTGTGCAGCTTGTAAATTTGTTTTTTTACTACACATGCAAAAAGTTAAAATTAATGGCGTTTGTGGGGGTTTTTTTAGTGACCTTTTGGGCGTTGTGCAGCTTGTAAATTTGTTTTTTATGACAAATAAATGCTCAATTGAATTTATGTGCTCTGTCCCATCTGTTGTCTTCATCTTGTCTAGTGTGTTTTGCACCCACTAGTTATTTCTGCAGCTTTAAGGCTAAGAAGCTTGTTACTGCAATAATTTTTAACTGTGGTCACTATGAGAAGCAATTTAACTGTCCTGTTGCCATGTCACAAAGTGGCAAGTGGGCTATATGCATTAGTTTTTTTTTTTTTCTCATTCCCAAACCTGTTAAGGTGTCTCTCCATCCCAGCTTTTTTATTGAATGACCCAGTATTTACATTGTAGTCTCAATTTCTTCAGGGCTAGTATTAGTATGGTCATTTAAATGCTCCTATTAAACACAGAGAGAGAGAGAGAAAGAATACCAGTAGAAAAACAACACTAAAAAGATGGGACTATGGCAGAATACAGATCATAGTGCTGTGGTCTATGTTCTTTCTTTGTCCCATGTTTTTAGCACCACCTTTCTAGCGGTAATCGTAAATCAACCAGCCCAAATTGTACCCTACCCTGAATGTCAATGTGGGTGTGAAATAATAAGCTGAATACCGCGAAGAAAACCTATATCACGACCATGATTCTCCACTGAGCAGCCAAATGCAATTCCCATTATTTAAAGGGCCCCTAACCAGGCCCCATAAATAATTCTAGTTAAATGCTGGCAGTTACATGTTTAAAGAAGAGCATTATGCCACCAAAATTTTTCAATCGGTTCATTACGAGTGAAGAAAACGAATTTTTAAGCGGCTTGAAACCATGATGAAAGGAGGCGAGCTTGAAACCCTTGCTGCTCGCCCCACGTACTTCCCTATCCTTTCCAGCATCTGAGCAAACAGTTATGTGCACATAACATCCCCGAGAAGCCTAACCCCTGACCACGTACTTCCCTATCCTTTCCAGCATCCGAGCAAACAGTTATGTGCACATAACATCCCTGAGGAGCCTAACCCCTGAGCATGCGAGCGGCATTGCTTTGTTGACCAACATTATCTTGTAGTCCACTGCCTGTTTCTGCGGGATGAATGCCTCGTTGCGCGTTCGTTTCGAATTAGATGTGGTAGAATAGATGAGCATATTGATTACTCGAACGCAAAGGACCATTTAGTTTGTACAGCTAATGTCTGCTCGATGTGCTCATCGCAGGGACATTAATGTATGTAAAACGCAGGCACATTAGCCCAGCATCTCATTTAAATTTACTTTTTTGTGTCTCATGTTTATCTCAAGTTTTATTAATTTATTCAGGCCACAAATTACACAAACTACACATGTCAGGTGAAATAATGTTAATTGTGCCACAGGCTACTGTCGGCCACGTCAGAGCACCGTCGTCTACGCAGAGGACAGTCCTCGCAGCATTACTATCTACAAAGGTAAATTCCTACCTCTACGTCATGCCTTCATTCTCTGGGCGCGTGCCCGCGAAAGGAAGGGCAAGTAGCGTTCATCTTGAAATTTGACCCATTTCCGCGGCGCTTGGCATGGCAAATTTTGGGAGATGTGATAATGAACACCCAATGCATGCATTGCCCTCGTCAGCTCAAAATTGTCAAACCTGGCGAGTGGGCCTTTAAGTACTGCAGAACACACGTGAGTAAAAAAAGAGCCACTACGTGCAGCGTGTGTTGTAGCAGTAAAGAAAATTTGGGCAGTCGTAGCTTGTTCAGTACGGCTGTGCAACTTTGTCTTGAGGCTCAGATACGGGATCGACAACTACTGGCATTTTGGAGTAAACATAGGCTGTGGAGTCTCGTCACGCGATGTTAGCGAAGTCTGCGCAATACATGGATAGTACGAGGAAACACGTTATAGTATCAACGGTGCTACTTAGTCAGACTTGTAGAATTGCACTAACTGAGATGGTAATAGCAACTGAATGCAACTTTAATTTCAGCCAATACACACTTCCAGCCTGCAAAAAATGAGCTGTTAATGTGTTCTCTTTTATGCATATTTACATCCACTAACTTGTACAACCAATTTCTAATTGCAAGTGAAGTATAAGGCACTTCAGGACAGTGTGGTTGAACTTATTTTCTATAAAAACAACTTATGATGGCAATGTTCAACATTGTATTGTAATATAAAAAGGTATAGTACAGTAGAAATCATGGCTCTTAAAACCAATGCACAATGGAGCACTATTAACCAATAAATCTGCCAAAAAGAAAATAACATTATGTAGAACACAGAAATAATGTAATACAAAATTTATTTTCAAAAACAGTTGGGTAAACTGCACACCACAAAAACGGAACACATTTTTAACGGCAAGATGAAAAAAATAGACTGATAATGCGAAAATTGAGTGTAAAAAAAGCCTTTGTGGTCCTACTATATATACGAGTAAATTTACACTTGTGTCTTTATGCCGTAGTCAAGAGATATTCTTTGGCTAAGTGCAAAATACGTCTTCGTATGGTGTAATACCCATGAGGAATTTTCGCTGACTAGAGTTCACTGTACTCTAGTTAACTGCTTTCACAGCCTGGTATACCCACGAGTCATCCCTGACAGCTCGCGGGCATACAGCACTCGTGGGCTAGCAGGGCATATGCATCTTTTTGATTATAATACACTTCCATACCATCAGTTGACAAGGCAATATGAATATAAATATAAATTTTGCTCTATCCTGTAGCATGTGCAGATAGCTACATGTAAGAAACTTTTTCTTCATAGCCACAATTATTTGTAAATTGCTTGGCCAAAGGTGTTCGAGAACACTCAGATGTGGCTCTAATGAACACATAAGACTGTAGGCACAAGTGATGCAGTCAAAATGGGAAAAATATCAGTCACTAGGCTCCTACTGAGCATGATTCACATTATGCTTTTAGCAGCACTGAGTCCATATATTTACAGTGTAAACACATCATGGAAACACAGTCACAAATATTGCATTCTAGCCACAACCATTACCCCTTAATGTTGCGTCTGAGTTCGGCAGCATGCCAAACAAGTGTCTCATCCACAACTGTGGCAGCTAAAAGGACTATGACAACAACTTGATTAGTAACAAGTGAATCAACTGCTCTAATGTCAATAGCGCACATTACTGAGTTTAGCGTGTGTGACTTCACCTAGCATGTATGCACTCAAAGCAACGTACGCGACTCAAAATGAGATTACATAGGCGTCCAAATAGCTGCAAGTGCCACACATACACACTGCAACTACAAATGTGCCCCTTCTCTAGAAAAAATATATCACAGTAAGTTTATTGTTACTTACGCATTCCACTGACAAGAACTGCATAGTTTAGGCTACAGTCTGCACCACAGAAGCTGGATTTATGGCACTAAAATACAGCGAACAAGAAAATAGTGGCAAGTGCACTTATAGTGTCAATCTTTTTAGGCCAGCAAACAAACCAACCCATCTTTCTTGAGTTACAGCCTATATTTGCAAATGTAGAAAAAACACAATACGTGGGATACATGATGTCGGTATAAGAATAGCAAACAATGCTGCTAACTGTGCTAATGTCCCAACATTTGCTATTTTTTATTAACAAAATGGACAAGACAATGCATAGACAGTGGAAATGAACACAATGTAATGCAGCGGTAACAAGTTAAGTCAAACTAGCCCTAAAACATTCTACAACCACACAAAAAGGTTTTCTGCAGTAAATAAAGTACTGCTCACAAAGCAAAAAAAAAAAAAAAAATTTTTTATTCTTTTCTGTTTTTGTAATACAAAAAAAAATGAAGGCACACTCTGACTGCAGCAGTAATCACACAGTTATCCGCCCAGAAAGACAGATGGCCCAAACGTGGTTCTGAAGGACGGAAGGCCTCATTTCTTGCTCGCATTCTTGGATGCTCGCGATGACCGGCGGGTTGGTCCAGTACAGTCAGTTGTTTTAGCCTACAAACCAAACCAAAAATTTGCTTAAGGTAGACTAAGCAGTGCAAACTTGCTAGGAAACAGATATTTACTTTTATGCATGTGCTAAGAACTGAAATTTGGTTTTTAAAACATTCGAGATATTCCAAAATACGGCATGAGAGGGCCTGTATATACTAAAAGTCCTTGCCAACTCTTACTAAGATTTAAAAAAAAAGAAAGTCATGCACTCTAGGAAAGTTCTACCTGCTGTATACTAGTGATAATCATGTGTGCACTCAATCATTATTTTTCCATGACTAAGCACTGATTAATCACCTTTAATTGGTAAACTTTTTATTCTTGCTTAACCTGGCAAAATATTAAATTGCAGAACACCTTAACCCCGGAACCAAGCATTTATTTTGCAATGAAATCTGCTTGGTTCTTTTTCCTGAGAAAAACCAAAAGCTTGCAACCAAAAGCAACCAAAGTTGCAACCAAAAGCTTTTTCCTGAGAAAAACCAAAAGCTAAAATTTTTGTTTTCGCTTTTTCATGGCCACCTGAAGCTTAACGCAAACCCTTATGTCAAGCTGTTCTTACCTCGAGCATCGAGACATCACCACTCACACAATCTTCTTCCTTACAAGGCCCGCACAAATCTATTCAAATACTCTTTCTTCCCGCGGACAATTGCGGATTAGAATGCATTACCGAGTTCGGTTTTCTCTGCGCGAACTGAGGCTGCTTTTTCAGCGATGGTGCTTGCTGCCCTAGAATAATTATCATCTTTGTTTCAGAGGTTTGCTGACCGATTGCTGGTGCTTTTCTAGTTTTTGTGAAGCTCTCGAACGGTTGAGGATGTTTTAGTCGTGGGTTTTCATTGTTTGTTGGGAAAAGTGCGTATTTGTCTTTTACGAGCTCTACTGTATAATGATTTTGTTTTGCTTGACCTAGAGATAGTGTGATCGTTGCAACTTTCTAGTTTACGATGAGTTTTGCACTGTGCAACGTTTTTTCTTTACCTGAAAATGTGTGTATAAATGTATGTATGGGTGTATTTGTTTATATATCTATACTGCACGTGTGTATGACCAAAGCATGGTTATTGATATGTATTCACCGCTACCATGCGATACATGTAACTTTCCCATCTGCCCTCCTGCTTGGTCCTTATAGGACTGCAGTATGTAATAAATAAATAAAAATAAAAATAAATAAATAAACACGTGGAATCTACGGGGGACCAGATTGACTGGTCAAGTGCGCATATTCTGGCTTTGACCAGAAAGCATGCATTATGCCTGCACCTGGAATCCTTGCACATACAGACTACCGCACATACACTGAACAGGAGTGACCGGATGCTTTCAACAATGTACTCTCGGTGCTTGCATCACGTACTTAGGCGTACTTAAATATGCCGTGTCTTTTTTTATGGCTGTTATTGTGAACAAAGCTCCTAGAGCGGGTGTGGAAACGTTCGTAAACGTTGTATTCCTTTGGTAGGCGCATATTTTCCTATCTACACTAAGAAGCAACAGTTACACAATGCCTTTTTTTTTTTTTTTTTCATGCGTATAAGTACGGCCGGAACTTTCCAAGCGGCCACACCAGAGCCGTGCCAGAGAGGTAATACCAGAGAGGTAATACGCCGTGCTTGGACACGATGTGGCCTAGGATGACGAGCTCGCGTGCAGCGAAGCGGCATTTTTTCAGGTTAAGCTGGAGACCAGCGTTGGTCAGGCAACTCAAAACGTGCCTGAGGCGAAGGAGGTGCGTAGGAAAGTCATGAGAGAAAACCACGACATCGTCGAGGTAACAGAGGCACATATTCCATTTGAGGCCACGTAGCGTATTATCCATAAGACGTTCAAACGTGGCAGGCGCGTTACAAAGCCCAAAGGGCATGACGTTAAATTCATATAGTCCGTCTGGTGTAATAAATGCCGTTTTTTGGCGATCGGCTTCTGCCATTGGGACCTGCCAGTAGCCAGACCGCAAATCTAGCGACGAGAAAAATTCCGCTCCGTGAAGGGTGTCAATGGCGTCATCAATGCGCGGCAAAGGATAGACGTCCTTGCGGGTTATCTTATTCAAACGACGATAGTCCACGCAAAATCGAATAGATCCGTCTTTCTTACGCACCAGGACGACGGGAGACGCCCAGGGACTGTGAGATGGTCGAATGACGTCTCTACGAAGCATATCTTCGACTTGATCGTTGATGACGCGGCGCTCTTCAGCGGAGACACGGTATGGTCTTTGACGCAGTGGCTGGTGTAGGCCGGTGTCAACATGATGTTTGACTTGTGATGTGCGGCCCAGTTGAGGTTGCGACACATCGAACGAACTCCTGAACTCATGCAGAAGATCCAGCAGGTCGGCATGTTCGGTGGGAGTGAGAGTGTCGGCGATGGCGCTGGAAAACGTATCATTGGATGACTCCCCGAGTGCCGACAGTGCTTTTGGGTGGTCGCAGTGGTCGTCCGGGACATCAAACAAAAACGAAGGGTCGAGATCCTGCACGCGACCGAGACATTCCCCCGCAAGCAATGTGACAGGTGTGGAAAGCGGATTGCTTACGAAAATGTTGCTTCTTCCGGCAGCAAGGTCAATTGTTGCAAAAGGCAGCGGCAAAGCTCGACGACATTTGAAGATATCGGAAGGCATAAAAAGAACTGTAGCGTCAGTGTAGGCGTTGCATGAAACGGGAACAAGGGCGCAATTTTCAGGCGGAATATCGGTATCTTCATGAACGAGCAACTTCGGCGGCTGATGAGGAGCGTCCAGTAATGGGACATCACACAAGGGTGAAAACTCAACTTCGGCGCGTGCGCAGTCTATGACGGCATTGTGGCGGGATAGGAAGTCCCACCCGAGGATGACGTCATGCGAACAGACAGGAAGAACAATAAACTCCACGATGTAAAGAATGCCTTCGATGGAAATTCTTGCAGTACAGGCTGCGAGAGGCGTTACCTGCTGTGCGCTTGCGGTGTGAAGCGACAGTCCGGAAAGCGGCGTCGTTACTTTGCGTAATAAACGGCAGAGATTAGCGGCAATAACAGAAACAGCGGCGCCAGTGTCCACAAGGGCGAAAGTACAATAACCTTCAACAGTTACTGCGACCACGTTAGCAGGAGAGGAGCGAGGGCTTAGACAGTTCGAAAACGGCGCAGTTCTTGCCTCTTGAACTGCGTTGCTTAGTTTTCCTGGTCGGAGGGTCCGGGCCGGCGACGCATGGGGGAGGGCGATCGCCGACGAGGAGAGGGTGCGCGTTGCGGCTGGAAGTCAAGGTGGTCAGTAGGCGCATAGCGAGGTGGCGAGACGGGCCCGTATTGGACAAAGGGTTGGCTGCCGGGATGCGACGACCGGGCATAGTTGCCGAACGTCTGAGGTCGACGGCGGCTGTAGCGAGCAACATGTCCGGGAGTGAAGCAAGCGTAACAAATCGGTCGGTTATCGGGCGTCCTCCAGGGATTGGCGACTGGTGCTGCCGCCCAAGGTGCAGTATAAGCAGCCGGGTGTGCGGGCTGTGAGCGCGTGGTGTAGGGTGGTTGCGGGAGCCTACGTACAGCGTCTGCATATGTGAGTGGCGCGGCTACGGGCTGCATCTCTTGCGAAAAGGCGACAGGAGGAGCCACAGGCTGCGCTGCATACGTTAGGGGTGCGGCCACAGGCTGAACGGCTGGTGGATAGACGACAGGAGCGCCTACCGGCTGTGCGCCACCCGGGCAGGGACCACGGCTAGGTAGAGGTGGCTCGTAGTGCGCAAGAGGAACAGCTTGTGCAACCTCTTCCGATATAGCAGTGCGAAGCGGGGCAGGTAGACGGGTGGTGGTCTCGTGAGTAAAAGGCACTAGGGAAAGTTGGCGGGCGACTTCCTCACGGACGAAGGCTCGGACTTGCTGAAGCAATGGTGAATTGTCCGGCATGGAGTCGAAACTGGACAGCGACTCACCACCAGGCTTAGGCTGCCTAGTCAGAGTGCGTTGCTTTTTCAACTCGTCGTAGCTCTGACACAAGCTGACGACTTCAGAAACTGTGCTTGGATTCCTTGCCAAGAGCATTTGAAATGCGCCGTCGTCGATGCCCTTCATGATGTTTTTCACCTTGTCAGATTCGGGCATGGTGTCATTCACACGTCGACAAAGGTCGACGACGTCCTCAATATAGCTGGTAAAGGTCTCGCCAGTCTGCTGAGAACGGACGCGCAGGCGCTGTTCTGCCCTCTGCTTGTGGACAGCCGGCCGACCGAACACTTCAGCACATGACGTCTTGAAGACGCTCCATGTGGGGATGTTGTGTTTGTGGTTATTAAACCACAATTCGGCGACGCCAGTGAGATAAAATATCACGTGGCCCAGCTTGTCGGCTTCATCCCATTTATTGTTGGCGCTCACCAGTTCGTAGTGCTCGAGCCAGTCTTCGACGTCGGTCCCATCTGCACCGCTGAAGACCTTCGGCTCCCGTAGCGTAGGATGGCCAGGGCAGTTGAACTGGAGCGGAGGCGTCGATGTAGTGGCGTTGGCAGTCATGACAGGTGGTAGCGTGCGGCTTCGCAGCTCCAGGGTGTAGCGACGGGGATCAACAGCACCTTCCACCAAATGTGAGGAGGTTTATGAGTCGTTAAAGACAGCGACGAGACAGCGTGAACAACCGTCCAGCGATCGGCACAGCAACGAACCGAAGCACGAGCCGAGAGAGCCGGGCGTTGGCGATGCTGCTCGCTGCAGGCACATCTTCTTCTTCACACATCTTCTAAATATTAACTCTAGTTGCAGCCGAAGGAGCGACTTTTAAAGCGTTGATCAATGGTAACGCTTATTTTTGTAATGGTTGCACAGACTGCCATCAGTTTCCATAATCAGGCCAGTTTTTTCAGAAATTCCACGACTTTTTCAGGTTTTACAAGTTGGTAGACACCCTGCTTTCAATCAGACTTTAATTGTATTCGTCTTTGGGAAGTTCAAATGAATTTGAATAGCAAAATTGAAGTGCGAATCGAATAGCACACATTAATAGAAGGATATTAGAAATTCATAATATTCACACATGTCTAGTTAAAATGTACCTCAATTCATCATTTTATGGTTTCAACTATGCACAACTAAGAAATAAACAACAGAGTATTGCTTATGACTTTGCAACATACAGTGAGAACGATATTGAAGGAATTATAAACCATTTTTTCATGTAATGATTTAATGACCTCAGTATCAGAATTCATTGCCTCATGAATCTGATGCCACAAAAATTTCTCAAATCTGTCACGAAGGGGCGGAGTTACAGAAATCTGTCGTGTTCCTGTAACTTATTGCTCCTATTTTACTCTTTTCGTCACCACACGACTGTAAGATTTGGCTGAGATGTTTATGCCAGTGCCTGCTATACACAGGATGTGTTTCCTCACCAAGCGCAAGGAGTGGTTCATGATCCCTTAAAGAAAAAAGTCAACGTGTCACCTCCTTACCGTGTTGCGATTACGATTCTTGTTGGACAGGCGTGGTGCCTTGGCTGGAACTGGGCAAGGTGATACGCTGAGTTCTTCATCATGGGGGTCTAGATTTTCACCATACCTATAATGAGATCATCAAGCGTTCAGTCAAAGCCAACACAATAAAATGAACCAAATACATTTCGGCTTTGGGAAATAGAAATGATTCTTTTAGATACTGTCCATGATTGCCCACAACGGACATATACCGTAAAATCTCGATCGAGCACTTTCCTTTATGGTGAATGATAATCGAACAAGATTTGGAGGGTGGGTCCCAGTTCAGTCATGGGCCAAAATTAGAGGTGGCAGCAAAACATTCTCTAAAAATAATAATGCAAACCTGCACTTCTAATAAAATGCATTATTGAATACGCAAGCATTTACTGTTTTCAGTGACCTTGGGGGAATTTTCATGTGCAATATGAAGTCTCCAGCAGAAAAACAGTGCTTAATGATGGGACAAAGAAAGCACACAAACCACAGCGGTATGGTTTGTGTCCTTTCTTCAACCACCCAGCCTAAATCCATACCATACCGCAAGTATCAAGCGTTATGACAAGGAGAGAAAGATGTTCTTTAAATTCTCCAACAATTTGTGCCAACTCTCTGAACGCAACTCAAAGACACCACAATGCATAAATACTAAGATATCGTGCTCATAACTAAATACTCACAGAACGCGAGTTCCAAGAAACTGCTACTACAGGATTCTGTAGTGAAGAACAGGCTGGGAAAAAGAAAAAAACGAAGGGAGAGTGCTGGGGGAGGGGGGTGCAGGCAGCAGGGTGTCACAAACGAGCACTACAAAGCGCCTGCCTCCAAATTCCAACTACTACGTGAAATTGAGGCGCCGCACAGACGCGACAAAAGCGGGCACAAATAAGAAATAAGCCCCGCCACGTCGACCAGCCTCCTCACATCTATCGCTGAGTGATCTCTAGAAACATCTCGAAAGAAAGGGGTGTGGCGTTGCAGAGTTGCGTCACGTTACAAGAAAGGTCACGCGCTTTCCACAACCTTGGCTGTGCGGTGCACCGACGAGATGCCTAGAAATTTTGGGAACCCAACGGCTAGTGCATATAAGCCAGCAGCGGAGGGAGTCAGATGAGGAGATGAGAATTTTTTGCTACCAGGAAAAGGCTTGTTCTACAGTGACCAAACAGAGACGAAGAAGGGTGTTTTCCACCTGAGGGTGAAAGCTTGCCTTGGAAGCAGGAGAAGAGTGTGTGTCAACCCCCCATGGGCGAAGATGTCTTCTCCAGTCAGAGCGCGTGAGTGGCTGATGTGCTACCAGCGAAGAAGTTTTGTTATTGAAGTGCGGACATTTGACAACACGAGAGTTTCCTAGAAAAGAAACCTCCGACGCAGCGGGACATAACCGGCGCAGGACTTTGAGTGAGTTTTTCCTTGAAGAGAAGCATTCAAGCTTTGTTCCAAGAACTTTGGACTGAATACGTTTGACAAACATTTTAGTCTATAAGCGTCTTAGTTAATGCATGATATTTCATTGTAGCGTGTGTTGTTTGGGCCCATTGTTTTGAGTGTATCTTGTTGTGTTGTGTAGCCCGTTGTTTTGAGGATACTGTGATTGGCGGCGTATTGTTCTGAATCATTGTCGAGTGTGCATGCTTGTGTGTTGATTGTTCTGCCTTGTTTTTTTTGGACCACAACCAGAGTTCGCTGGCGTACTAAAATGGACCAGTTCTAAATTGGCCGTGCTCTCATGGTCATTTCGGGACACACACACACACACACACACGCACACACACACACACACACACACACCACACACACACACACACACACACACACACACACACACACACACACACACACACACACACACACACCTGTTCTTGGTATAAGCTGGGCGATTGCCTCACTAATTAACGAGACAGTTCACAGAGGGTAACCGACACACTTGCTCGGTCACTGGTGCATATTTGAAGTCGGAAAGGGCAAGAGGAAGCTTGGTCAAGTAGGGGCGTGTGCTCAAGATTTTATGGTAATAATATCTGAAGTTTAACGTCCCAAAACCACAATATGTTTATTAGAGACACTGCAGTGGAGGGGTCCGGAAATTTAAACTCTCTGGGGTGCTATTAACATGCACCTAAATTCAAGAACACAGGCTTCGAACATTTTCGGCTCCATCAAAAATGCAGCCACACCACCCGGGATTCAGTCCTGCGACCTTCGAGTTAGCAGTCGAGAGCCATAACCACTTAACCACCACGGCGGGGCAAGATGTTACAGTACTCTACTGTAAATTGTAGTATTATTTATATGTGCAATTGATTGATTGATTGATTTGTGGGGTTTAACGTCCCAAAACCACCATATGATTAAGAGAGACGCCGTAGTGGAGGGCTCCGGAAATTTTGACCACCTGGGGTTCTTTAACGTGCACCCAAATCTGAGCACACGGGCCTACAACATTTCCGCCTCCATCGGAAATGCAGCCGCCGCAGCCGGGAATTGAACCCGCGACCTGCGGGTTCAATTGTAGCGACCTTCGAGTAACGAAGGTCGCTACACATGCGACCTTCGAGTAACGCGTTCGATGCTATACCACTGAGCTACCACGGCGGCTTTCCCCCCCGCCACGTTATTGGGTATCTATGTGAATTTTTAAACGTGGGAATGTAAGTCAGCACCACCAATAGCCATGGCGTCGACCTGCGGGTTCAAACAGCAAGCAATTGACATCGCTTGCTGTTTGTGTTATAGCCAAGGAATAAAGAGTGGGTAACCACTTAGTTGTGATCTGCTCATTTTTTAGCACTGCTATAATATGTCAAATCACTCACTCAATCACATTTATTCAAGCTTCATCACTCAAAGTCACCAACATGGTCTTGTAATAAAAATCAGTGTTGAGAGCATAAAACTATTATTATGTACAAAATGAGACAAGAGTATAAGTATATACAAGGTCTGTTAGAAAAGTATCTGACCTTTTCTTTTTTGCGAGCATCTAATGGATTTCACAAAAGTGCGCTTGCATCAGCCGACCTTGAACTTTCGTGCACATGCGTGAATTTTTCCCACCTGCCAATAGCGTCAGTTGCTGGGACGCAGTGTTTGGGTGAGGTAGTGTGCAGTGCTCTGGTTGGTTGTTCATTGCAAGAAAAATGACGGAGCGACTGGAGCAGCGCTACTGCATCAAATTTTGCCAGAACCTGCGTGACATCCAACTGGTAACTATTTGAAAGATCAAGACTGCTTTCGGTGATCACCCTATGAGTCACACACAAATTAAAGAGTGGTGCAACCGGTTTAAAGATGGCAGCACATCGGTGGAAAGCGAGCCACGCTCCAGTCGGCCATCAATATGCCGAAATGACCAGGTCATTGTCGAAATGAGCACTGTCGTGATGAGGGACCATCCTGTAACTATCTAGGAAAGTGCAGAAGAGGTGGGCATCAACACTTTCTCCGCACATTCCATTACCACCGAATATTTGGTAATGAAGGCAGTTGCGGCGAAATTTGTGCTGAAGCTGCTCACGACAGAGCTGAAGCAACTTGTGGGGGTGCTGACACCCCCCCTGTAAAGTTGTCTGCGCCGCGTGGCGCACGTGTCTCGCCCCAAGGCTTTATTTTGGTGGTGGCCATCACCGGGCGATAGATGGCGTTGTGTTAGCTTTGAGTACCACTGTTGGTGGAGTGGTGGCACCGGCGGTGGCCCCTGGCGGAAGGCAGGCCTTGGTGATGGGCGACAGTTGAGCGAGCCTCTTCTGCGCGTGGCGGCTGCCGCGAACGGTTGTCTGCAGTGTGGGTCCCCGGTGCTCGGCACCGCGGGCTTCGCGCCGAGGTCCCACGTGGAAAGTCAGGCGTTGGCGACGCCGCCTTGGGTATGTGTTAGTGTGTTGGGTGTGTTAGTGTGTGTTTATCATGTTATTGTGTGTTTAGTGTGTCACTGCATTATGTTGTTTGTATGGTAGCGTGTTAATTAAAATTGATGTAACATTCGGCGGACGATATCGTCGTCTAAGTTAGTTAATAAATGTATGTATGTTGTGTGCTTTGTACCGACCGCGTCTGCTGTGTCCGTTCACTCTAAGAGCGTGGCGTGGCGATGCGCGCGTTCGCCTCGCCGAGACCCCACACTGGCGCCCAACGTGGGGCTCTTGGAGTGTCGGATGACAGTTTTTGTGGTTCAATACAGGGATTTTGTTAGAGCCGGGGTGGAGTGGGCCTGGGGGGGACTTCTTTGCTGGCGTCGGTGGTGTGCTTTGTTGAGAGGCGAGGAGATTAGTTTTGTGGCATGTTTGAATTTGTCGGCAGGTTGACTTTCTATTTGTTTTTTTTTTTGCTTGCAAGTGTTGTTATTTTTTGTTGTTGTTGGTTTTCAAAGGCGTTGTTGAATTAGGACGAGAGCCATGTGGTCCGCATCCTGGGGTGAGCAAAGCCTAGAGCACGTGGTTTGTAGGCCAGGGCCGAAGCGAGTGAGTACGGAAGCCTCGTGGGTGGTCCGATTTTCTGTAAATAGCTTCTATCTCTTTGGGCTCAGGAAGCCGGGCGTCGTTGCTGACTTGTATTGCGGCTCGGCGCCGGGGCGTCGTGACACCGCCCGGGGCGGTGGACGCCGATCGCTCGGCAAGCTGCTGTGTGTGGCGAGCGATAGGGCCACCTCACAGAGTGGACGTCTCCTCGCGGCTGCCTCTTCTGCGCCTAGGCTGGGTGCTGGGTGGATGCCGGTTGTTGCCGAGCGACTCATTAGGCCTAAGGCTCTGCGCAGCCGCCTGTCGCACGTGGCACAACTAGGTGGATCGTGGCGTTGAGGTGTTGCGCTCTGCTTCCCTTACTTTTTTTTGCTTGTGAGCACGAGTTAGGAAAAGTGATTTTTGTTTTATTTTGATGGGCGTCTCGGCCGCCACCGATGTATTAGCTAGCAGTACTGACCAGCGTACCACGTGGACAAAAAGCTCGAAGCTCCCTTCCCGAGGACCTGCTCGATTGTTTTCTTTCAATTTTTTTTGTTATTGTTATTGATGTATTCAGCGGGAGGGATGTCATCCACGGCCGGCTGTCCTGCACATCGTCAGCGTCGCTGGCCAGGAATGCGGTCGTGAG